CAAATAATCGTTTCACAGCTCAAGCGGGACGGAAAAATTAACAGCACCGGAAATTATGGGAAGAAGTCGAATACGGGATCAAGACGAACAGAGCACGAACAGGATTTCCACACAGGAACACCTCACTTAAGGGTCGTAACCGAGACACTCGAAACACATCTCAGACATTCTCGGTAACGCACGGCAATTGCGTTATACGCCCAGCACGGCACATTGCTCACCGGTCCTTCTCAGAAAATGTTCCCGCTTTTCTTGAGTCCAAAACATTACCGCGGTTGGCTTCAGTCAGTCAGTCAGTCAGTTATATACCATGCATGATAAACGATCATGTATCTTTGGATACATAAGTGACAAGGCAGATATTTTTTCCCGTAGTAGGTTGCCATTTCTTTCTGCAGTAGACCAGTTGCCATCCAAGGCTATAGTACCTGGTCTGTCCTGCTATTTACCTATACCTGGGGGGAAAAAAGAGGATTCGATTCATACTTTTCCCAAGGGTATTAACACGTAAGTCAATGTAATGGATCTGACTGGATTTCGAACTCGGCTCTCCGATTCCTCAGTCGGAGCCGCTATCCATTACTCTACCGTGTTCGCTTACTAAACGAATTATTTGCATCGATAACAACGCTCTGCTCACCAAGAGCTGACAGATGCTTTACTTCTTCATACCCAAACGTTCCGGGGTTCGTACCGGCTCTGCTCTGGCAGTGAAACTGTCTGCTTTCTTTTGATAGAAATAGCACACTAGACGTCGTCTGTTTGACCGAAGAGGGAGGGTATCGTTATCAATGGTAGAAGGCAGCTCAGTCGGCGTTTCGTTTCCACTACAAAGATCTTAGGAGAAAGAACCGGAAACCGAGTCAAGAACAAGGGATAAATCTCAACCCTTGTTCAAAAGACAGGGGAGGAGTATGAGGTGATAACCAAACCTATCTACTTCTACAGTGTGACTCGGATATAAGAGAAACCCGGATATAACAGATTTTCTCTTGTATATAAAATAGATCAAACCCGGATATAAGAGAAACCCGGATATAAGAGACTTCTTCTCCGGTCCCGACAACTCTCTTATATCCGGGTCACACTGTATATTCTTAGCTGTGTTTGCTTTTCAAGCCAATTTCAAATCGAGTGCCGATGGTGGCAATAATAATTATAAAGGTATTCCGAATAAATGCAGGAATCATTCGAAGTGAGTAATTTATATAATTACAAATGTTTAAAAGACATTTGTGTATGTAACAGAGTAACCGGTATTAGGGAGTTAGCAAAGTATAAAGAAGAACAGCCTAAGAAATTAGTTGAAGAAAATAGACAAAAATTCAAAACATTATACAGTAAATGCTGTATGGTATTTTTCAAACAAGAACTGTCGTTGCGGTGAAACGTCTTAAGACGTTTTATCAAATTCAACCAACATTGTTATCTGCTTAATATTTCGTTTTATTTATCCAATAAAATGTTGAGCAACGGTATTATGTGTAGATATAAAAGATTGCGTTCAAATCTGAAGCAGACTGTCGCCATTCGGTATTAACCACGTAGATACACACAAGCACAGATAATAAAATTCGTTAACGTTTCTACATGCCACTTCCAAAACTAGGTATTTACTCTGTTTCCCTACTAAGACGAGTTGTGACACAAGGTCTTTTTTAAGGTGGGGACCCGAGCGCGTACACCCGGGCAAGGTACAAACACTGCCCGCAATCCCCGCAACCGTCGGTTGCGCTAGCCTCGGTGCAGGCGCCGGTCCCTCTATTTGGTTCAATGAGAGGGCGCAGCATCGGGCAGCTTTTCAGTATAATTTTCCCCAGTTGCGACTCTCTCTTTTGACGGAGTCTCCCCTGAGGGCACCCTGCCCAAAGACAGAGACACAAGAAAGAGATGATAAATGCATGTGTTACAAAGCCCTCAGGAGAGGGACTTGCACACCACTTCCAAAACTAAGCTTGATTTGATGGTGCTAGCCATATTCAGTTGGTTGGTTAATTGGGTTTTATGGCAGTCATTTAATGTCAAATTTAGTTTATATATATATATATATATATATATATTAGTACTAGTAAACGTATACCTGGCAACATTTCTGGACGTAAGTTATCGCCATACCCATATTCAGGTGGACAGGAATTATAATATTTTATTATAGATCTGCCTGAGGATAACTCGTCATTTGAAAGTCAGAGTTTTACAAGTGGCAAGTAGAAACGAGTGTTATATCTATATATATATATATATATATATATATATATATATAAAAACTATCATTTGGCCTTGAGCGCCTTATCTTTTGACATGTTTATTATATGGTATGTTATATAATATCAAGTAATTTCGATGTTAATGTCGATGGAAGGAACAAAAGTTTAAGTAACAAAATAACTGAAGTCGAATGGAGCGTTAAATGAAAGAAAAAATGAAATTAAATAAGAATAAATTTTCTCATTAATATCTAATTCTATTTTGCATAACCGTAAAGAAATTGCCATGGAATATCTGTTTTTCCTATAGGGTAGTGAATTCTTCAAAATTTCCTCGCAGATGAAGAGAAAACTTGAGGCAATTTAAATGCGGTTCTACAGAAAGATGCTGAGAATACAATGTGCAGATAGTGTATCAAGAAGATTTTAACAAAAATCAAAGCAAAAAGATATACACAATCAGAAAGAGGCAGTTGAAATCTCTGGAAAATTTGATGAAAAATAGATCTTGAAGACTTTCTCTCTCACATGACGTACTGAAGGCAACATGGATTGATCGATATATTTGTTTTGTAAAAAAAAAATAATACTTTTAGAGATAATAATTTTCAGATTCCTCACACCAAATATTTAACCCACAAATGGAGAGAAGACGTGAATTCATACCTTTCCCAAGGGTATTTTCGTGTAGATTCAAACTGGGCTCTCAGATTTCAAATTACTATCCGTTATCTATTACATAACCCGAACATCCATGCTTACAGAAACTTACATTCCAAAGCGGTCACCCATCCAGGTATTGACCAGTATAGACGTTACTTAACTTTGGTGATCGGTTGAAAATCGATGTTTCATCGTGGTATGGGTAAAAAACGAAGTAATCTACCTAACAAGCTTTAGTAAATGGATGGCAGAACAGGGATTTGGAGTTGTAATGTTTGTCTGCTCACTATTAAGATCTACAAAGGATAGTTATTGAAAGCCATATTTGGTCAGGTTCCGACGAGACTTTATTCTTTGTTAGTAATATCATCATTTAAAGCCAACGTTTCAAATAAAAATTCACCTTTCTGATGTTTGTAGAAGAGAAAACTTCTGTGTTATTCAAATATTTAGAGAGTCTTGATAAAATCCAAAGAAGAATCAGCAATATTATTGGTCTTGGTCTGGTGTCTCGGCTTCTGTCACTTTCCCGCCGTAGTAAAGTTGCTTCCTGTGCCTTTTACTGTTCGGGGTGGGGGTGGGGGCTCTTCGCTATGCTAAATACAAATTGGGGTTTTGATATTTAAATTGTTGTTTTATACCCCACTGTATATATGGAGAGAAGTTAGGACTTCATGGCGATTCTGAGGTATTATGGTGGAGGTAGTAAGAATGGTAAATAAGAATGTGTTGTTTTGGTATGAGAAATATAGTGGTATGTTTGGGTCAGTAATTGTGGTTAGCTAAGTTTAATTATAGGACAGAAGAGCATCCTTTCCCCATTACCCACTTTTGGCATTGTGCCACATTGTTAGTAAATTTTACAAAATAAATATTGCTCTTCGCTATGGTACATAGATGAGGGCAGTACTAGATTGGCGGAAAGGTTTTATCAGCTAAATTGTCTAAATGTCACTAAGTTATACGTTAAAATTTTCTTTTCTCGCTTGTTGAACACTGTTCCAGATTCTTGCTTTCCAGCCAAATTTGATCTTCAAAAATTTAAATGCAGTGGCAATCGTTATCTACTGTCTTTCTGATTATTCTTCTATTGATCTCGCTGCTTAATAATGTAGCCTTTTTTTCATTCTTTCACACCCACTAACACTTTGTGTCTTAGTGGCTTTACTGCCTTGCATGGGGTGAATATCACTTAAAAAAGACAAGTAAAAGATATTATTATATTAAGAAACATGTTCTAAATTTCGTTGCCCATCACAAGAGAAATACTCTTTTTCCTTAATAAAAAATGCACTAATCATGTTAATCAGATTAATAATCAAAATTACTTATCCGAATATTACCATTTATTATTCAAACGTTCCTTCACGGTAGGATTTTGCTTCTTAAATGCATCCGCGATAATCTTTCAGGCTATATCTTTCTAGCGGAGACTGAAGAATCGGAAATAATATTGAAGGATGCCAGACCAGCTTCTATTGTTACAAAGTTTTGCTTCAGTAAAAAGCAAAAAGATGTTGTATGCAATAAAACCTCCGAGGAACTATTTTTTTCTTTTATAGATTTCTTATTGTTAACCCCGTTTTCGCATTACTTCACTTGTCATTTGTTTTTCCTTCCCACTTTTCTTTCCTACCTCATTACAAAATGGCTACCCAGCCATGTATTTCTCTTATATTTCTTGTTTATCACTTTATCTATGATCAGGCTTTCCTTTCTTCATATCTGTTGTCCTCTCTCTCTTTTGGAATTGTATCAAAAAGCTGTAGTCAATCCTTCCGGATCCAATCCGCATCAAAACGCCTCTCGATTGGGAAAGTTATCAATAAAAGTACCGCGGATTTGCCGTCTCTTTTCATCGCATCAGTTTTTTCAGTCGCTCTCAAAAGGCCTTTCGAATTATTCTTCATCCATCACCGTGTCCAATAAGTCCACAGTGCAGCCGGTGTCCTGGGCTTACAGTATGGTAAACAATTTAGAAAGGAAATAAAAAAAATAATACAAAGAATTGAAAAAGAAGGGAGTACAGCAGAAGAAAAAGACGTTAGATATACGCAAAAAAAAAAAAAATGTGGAGGAAAGAATGAATAGTTGAAAAAGAATCAGTTGAATAGGTGAGGGCGGAAACAATCAATTGAGTGAGTGAAGGACAGAAGGAGACAGTTGAAAGAGTACAAGATCAAAGGAGACAGCTGAAAGAGTACAGGATAAAAACAAACAGATGAAAGAGTATAGGGCAGAAGTAAACAGATGAAAGAGTACAGGGCAGAAAGTAAACAGATGAAAGAGTACAGGGCAGAAAGTAAACAGATGAAAGAGTACAGGGCAGAAAGAAACAATTGAAAGAGTAAAATGAAAAAAAGAAACAATTGAAATCTTAAGTGAGAAAGAAGCAAGTGAAAATCTAAATGCGAAATAAGCAATAGAAGATGAAAAATGGTGAGAAAAGATGAAGGACAGAGTAGCATATGAGAAAGAAGGAAGAGTAGAAAAAACAAGCGATTAGAACAAAATTTGACGTAAAAAGATAGAGTTGAAAATATAAGAGGGACATAAAATAAAATGAAATGTGGACATTAAATTAAAATAAGAAAGAAAAAGAGGAAGGAGAGGTTAAACAAAATGTAGAGCTTGACAAAAAAAAAAAATAATATATGCAAAAATATAAGAAGAGAAAGATAAGCGGGATATGAGAGAAAAGTGAAAACGATGAATGGTTCAAACGAAATGGAAAGCAAGAAACGAAGAAATAAATAAATGAATTTTTGGTAATATATAAAGAAGCATATATAAGAATATGTCTAGGAAAAATGAAGCATATATATTATATATATATAAAAACCCAAAAAGTAAACGGTAATAGCGACAGGAAGAAGAAAAGGAAATAATCACTTAGAAAACTAAAAAGAGAAAGAACAACGGAAATCGGGGTAAAGCAAAAAGGAGAAAGGCGGGAATAAAGTGCATGATAAATAATACGGAGAGCATAATGAGGTTAAAAGAAAAGCAGAAAATAAAAGAAGAAATCATTAAAATGCGATAATAAAAGCAAGGGACAATGTGAGTATCTTAAGAAAGTCTTTTTATATATGGAGTCTTATTACGTATGTGATGGCAAAGAATTGACAGTTTTGGTGTTTCAGATTTCTTTCAAAGCCACCTTTAGCAGTGAAATTCAACACTAGCTTCTGTTTACAGCAGTTCATCCCTAATATATTCATTACATAACATGGAAGGAATACATAAATATATATTATACAAGAATTTTCATGTTTTATATTAAATGCCAAAAATTAAAACGTTTGCAACATCCATAAAAACACTAAAGAAAACGAAGAGATATTTTTTTTTTTTTTACGGATTATGAAACTTTTACAGGTTATTTAAAACCAGAAAATATTTTTATATTGTAAAATTTGTTTGGAGATAATAATGATTTACTACTAACTTTACTACAGAAATTGGGGAGGAGAGTTGGGTTCATGCCTTTCACAAGGGAATTTGCGCGTAACGAACCCAAAATTGGAACTTGGCCCTCCGATTTCCAATTCCGAAACATGTTAGCCACGATGATGTTTCATGGAAACTGGGAACAAAAAAGAAAATTATAATTAGCATCAAGAAGAAGCAGTTAAAATTTCTAGGGAACATAATGAAGAAAGAGGGATTGGAAAATCTTATTTTTTTGACAGTAAGCTTCAGCCTGTACAAGACCCGAAGTCGACACGAGCTAGAGGGTCATGTTAAAGGACAGTTTATAAGGATAGGAGGGGAAGACAGTACTATACATGAACAGGTTAAGATTTTAGTGAACGGGGAAACATCCTCTTGGGAGTCTTTCGTGGTTTTTGGAAAGAAGCTGTTCGAGTGGAACGTAATTCTCACCGATGGAATTGCGGGGAGAATGTAGGTAGTTTTCTACAATGTAAGTGGCATGGCGGGTCCCTCCCCGTGAAGGTTAGAGTTGCCGGAACCAAGGAATATAGTTCGTCCGAACAATTTCCATGAAAGTAGCGATAAAGCAATGAGAGGCTCGCCACATCTCGCCCATATGAGAGAAAGAGAAAGAGAAAAAGAGAGAAAGAGAGAGAACGAGAAAGCGAAAAAGAGGAGAAAAAGAGAGAGCGAGAAAAAGAGAGAGCGAGAAAAAAAGAGAGCGAGAAAAAAAGAGAAAGAGAAAAAAAGAGAAAGAGAAAAAAAGAGAAAGAGAAAAAAAAGAGAAAGAGAAAAAAAGAGAAAGAGAGAGAAAGAGAAAAAAAGAGAAAACGAAAAAGAAAAAAAGAAAAAGAAAAAAAGAAAAAGAAAAAAAGAAAGGGAAAGAGAGAAAGAAAGGGAAAGAGAGAAAGAAAGGGAAAGAGAGAAAGAAAGGGAAAGAGAGAAAGAGAGAGAGAGAGAAAGAGAGAGAGAGAGAGAGGGAGAGAGGGGGGAATAGTCACCCACAAGGACTCAGATTTGCTTTTGAACACTTATACGCACATGACAGATTGCAGGCAAGATGAAAACAACGCATAGCATACTTAGAGAGCTTGAGCATATCCATGACGGAACAAGCTTTAGGAGAAGTAATAAAAAGACAAAATGTATTAAGAATTACAAAGGACACGAAATTCTCGAGAGCCATGATCGCCTACGTAGAATAGAGTCAATCAGTTATGTGCCAGGCGTGATACACGCGTAGACGATCATGTATCTTTCGATACATGACTGTCGAGGCAGATTTCTTCCTGCAGCAGGTTACCATTTCTTTCTGCGGTTACACCACTTGCCATCCAAGACTAGAGAACCCTGTCTGTCCTGCTATTTACCCATAGCTGGGGGAAGAAGAAGAGTATTCATACCTTTTCCAAGGGTATTAGCACGTAATGGATTCGACTGGTATTCGAACTTGGCTCTCCGATTCCTCAATCCATGACGCTATCCATTATTCTAGAGTAGAGTAGGCTCGTGCTAAAGACACATTTTTAAAAAAATAGAGGCACGAAAATATTGTTTAAAACACGACATCGTCTAGGCTTTTCTTTTTATATTTTTTAAACGTCCATAAAATAATACAAAATAAATTTTGAAATATAATATACTTCATACAACAGAACAGTCTTTTTTTTCATAATTCACTGCAGAGAGGAAAATTTCTTTTCGAGTTCGCTGAAAAGAGAATTAAATATTCTTTTCAGGATCTGTCTATATTTCTGAGATAAAGTATTGTAATTATTACACTACATCATTCAGACTGTTGTCCTCATCTTTACTGCTATATTCACGACGTCTCGGCTGTTGTAGGCTCCGGCCTTCTTCAGTACATAGTCCCTTTATTTAGTTCACAGGCTTTAGGTAGAATGTTTTCATTCCATGATTTCTTTGGGGACATATAAGTTTCAGTTAATTCCCTTAAGAAAATCAACTCTCCAAGATGTTGTTCCCTCTGATGTGACCATGTATTGAACTCACAACTGTTTGGGTCAAGTTACTGTTTAGATTACATCAACGAACGCTTTTATCCACTGGGTCATCTTACCTTTCAAGATTTCATTGTAAAGAGCAAATATTCCAATTTCAAAAGGTCAATGAAAATAAAGACTATTTGCAATAGATAACAACGGGGTGGCATGACTCGGACACGTATGTTATCAAAAGTGACCGTTGTTCAATAGTTGAAAGGTTTTCTTTCACCGAGATGAAGTGTGCCGCTTCTTTTCTAGATGGAGACTGACTCGCAGAGGCGAGTTTTTGTTTTAGGCGCGACATCTTCAAACTGACTGAATTAGATTTAATTCTATTATTTTCAACTCGGAAGTTGCGCGTGATCGGCCTGTGCAGCAAAAACAATTTTGCTCACTTGTATTCAAGTCACCGAAGCAGCAACTTCCGCTTTCGCGTCCTGTTTACAACTGATATTCTTATAAAAATATTCGTCCACCTTGTGACGTAATAACACTCACACGAGAGCACTGTTTCTGTGTAAGGTGAAAGACACCAAGTCAAGCATCTGTCTATATTTCTGAGATGAGGTATTATTTACATTATTAGACTATTGCCCTTATCTTTGTTGCCATATTTATTACAACGTTTCGGCCGTTGTACGCTACGGCCTTCTTCAGGTTGTTGGAATGTCAAACTGAACCCTTTATTTCGCTCGATAGACTGTTTTAGTTCCACGTGCCATGTCTAATGGATGTCAGTTATCACCTGTTAATTCACCTCTCCAAGTTCCCCACTGCCTTGACCTAGAATTGAACTCACAAATATTTGGGTCCTGTCGCTGGATCTAACCAACGCCTTTATCCACTGTGCCATGTGTTCTTAAGGGTTCAGTTCGACATTCCAGCCACCTGAAGAAGACCGGGACGTACAACGGCCGAAACGTTTTGATAAATATGGCAACAAAGATGAGGACAAAAGTCCAAATAATGTAAATAGTGTACAAGTCATACATGTTGATGATTTCAGAGAATTGCTGCACATGTTGGACATGAGACTTTAGTGTTTTTTAGGCTATAGTTAACTCAAGGCCCAAGAGCCACTCAAGATAGAGGGTTACGGGATTAGACTGTTTTATGGACGTAAAAATTGTAAATTAAGTAGAGACGTAGGACTAATGACAGTTGACCTGAATAATTTTAGATTGTTGTGGTGGAAGTAGTATTTTCTGAAGTAGGTGTTACTCTTGTATGCTGTCAACCACGATATCAAACACTATAGCATGCGGCCTAACTCATTTACAACTGCAGTATGCAGTAAAACTACCGTCCTAGCGACACTCCAGAAAGTGCCTGATCCCTCCAGCTATGCTCTATCTTTACAAGAGCTAGAGCAGACCTAAAATGGAGTATCTGGGCTGGAGCTGCATTTTGTCCTTTTGTTATTTCTCCTAAAACTTGTTTCGTTATCCATTTGCAAAAGCTCAAGCCCAGGTCTATATAACACAATAGCATATAATCTACATTATCTACAATATATTTATATATTTAAATAGCAGGAATACAAAAATAAAACATGTTAACAACTACATTTATTTCAGCGATAAACACAAATAAATCATCTGAATCTTTCCTCACCACCTTTCAGTAGAACTGACCGAGGTGGGACTGGAAAAGCTCAGTAACAACGCCTCTCATTTTCTTCATAGTTTAGCAACTGACCATCATCGCTCGAGTGCCAGAGTGTGTGTTCCGGTTGTTGGATCCGCATAATATCGTTGATGGTTCACTGTCAGATAATAAAAACCCATAACATCTAGATTATTATAAGCAGGCTACTCATCTGAATGAATAATAATATTTTTCGCATTCTCTCTCAATACTTGGGATCAGAGTGTTGCCGTCACACCCAAAAGCCCCGACAGTCTGAGCCTTGTTTGAGACCAAAATAGCCCATCAATTTTACGTCAACAGGACACACAAGAGGTGTGGTGAGGCGATGGCAGAATTCATCGTGGTAGACCGCATTTGGACGGCACGAAAGGTGAGGCTAGTTCACGGTATTATTCACAGCGCGGTAGACCGCATACTATAATAGTAAATTAGGTAGACCGCATGTTACAGTGTTTAATATCGTGGTAGAACGATTACAATAGTCACATCCTGAAGCGGCTCTTGAGAAGATGTCCATATGGAATTTCCTACTTATTAATAGATTACGAAATCAATGTGGATGGTTCGTCTCTGTGTACATGGCATAACTGTTTTCAGCTGTAAAGGCGTGGATTGGTGGAATTAGGTAATGTGGCTTGCCATAACAATTTGCCATGGAAATAGAGACAGTAGGGATAGGCTTACGACCTTGGGTCTGTTGTACAGGGGTTGTAGGGTGGATGAAAATGAAAATATGTCAAGATGTAAACATGCATAGTCTTGTGACGTTGCGTCTGTGGAAAGCTGTTGTTGAATCGAAAGTAATTAATCACTCGTAAAACTGACGCTTTTTTGAACTATCAATACTAGAACCCGAGAACTGGGCAGCTTCATTTCAGATATAGCAGTGGTACTCCATTTCAGGTCTTCTGTAGCTCTTGTAAAGATAGAGGATAGCTGGAGGGATCAGGCATTTTCTGGAGTGTTACAAGAACGATCATTTTGACCAGTATCTTTAGTGATAAATCGGATCTATGAGTTCCACTTGAAGTCTGCGGTGAACTTGATCCCCAATAGACTTTGAGCGTCTAATTGGGGCTCAAATCAAGGATCATCTTTGGCGGGTGAGAATTCAGTGACAGCTCGGTGGGGCTGAAAATTATTAGCTTGGCTTTAGCGGTATTAAAAGTTGAAAGCTGAATTCCGCTCACTGGGCTGTTAGAGCTAGTTCAGAAGAGAGATCATCTGGTCGTCTATATTTTTGGAAGTACATCTCGGCGATAGTAGTCACTTGAAAATGCTAGAAGGTCATGTGGAGACGGACAAAGAAGTATCATAGATAGGCAGGGGGCGGTTCACCCCGAGCAATACTTTTGAATTTGATGTATAAGGCTGTATAAAATGTATTGAAATAAAAGTGGTTTTAATGACAGGACGCTATTCACGGTTAAAAGGCCGTTTTTGATTTCGAATAACTTAAACTATGCCATATGTATTTAAAGTCTGTTATCTTGGTTAAACAATAAATTTTATCCAGTTATATATTCTGGGCTGTTTTTTTTTTTTATTGTTGAACGAACCCAGGATGCGTTGTTTTTAATGTCGCAGTACCACTGTTGTTGTTCTTGGTTATTATAAATATTAGTTACTTTTCTTGACAGTTCATTTGAGGGCATGTGTAACTCTATTGATAGTCTTTTGAGCTTTCCGGAACCAATTTCAAATCATTCATGTTAACAAATTTGATACAACTTGCCGATATTGTTCAACCAAATAATATATATATATATATATATATATATATATATATATATATATATATATAATAAAAAAATGGAAAAAGTCCGACAATTTTTATTTATTAAAGACATTTTTATCTTTAACGTTCTTTTTTTATAGATACAAAAAAATAAAAATGTCTTTGATAAATATATTGTCGGACTTTTGTCCATTTCTTAATATATGACGTCATTTGTTTACATTTGATACGCCATGAGCAGTTATGAATGTACGAGATTCATGGAAGATTGAAGTTTATAAGCAGTAAATTCGACCTTGCCAACCGAACGATCCTTTGTGGTTAGGCACATCAGCGTAAATGACGGTTCCGTATAGGATGCAGGTTCGAATCCTGTCAAAGGACGAATATTTTCTATGAAAATTTCTCGGACATTCAGTCCGGTAAATGTTATTTAATACTGTTTATTATAAACAGAGCATTTACTTAAATACTTGTATCTATAAAAAAGAACGTTAAACATAAAAATGTCTTTAATATATATATATATATATATAAACGCTGGACACTTATAACTTACCCCCATACATCTTATCGACGTAAGAGAGTCAAATGACAGTGAGACACCTGCACATATGATTTGAGTATAGTGGTGAAGGTTTTGCACAGAACCAACCGAAGCCGAATACATAGACCTGGTGCCCTACGTACCACAAAGTCTCCTAGACCAATTGCCATCCAAGGCTATATAGCCCAGTTTGTCTTGCCATTTACCCAAAGCTAGCGGGAGAAGTGGAGGATTCAAACCTTTCCCAAGGGTATTCGCATGTAAGTAAATGTAATGGATTCGACTGGATTTCTAACTCGGCTCTCCTCAATCCGAGCCGCTATCCATTACTCCACCGTGCCTCCTCTCTCTCACTCTCCCTATATATATTTAAACATATATTGTTAAATATAACAATGAATGTCTATTATGTTTGATCACGAGTCGTTCTAAATTTCGTATGGTTGCTTTAATTTCGGGTGAAAAAGACAAAAACTGTTCAAGATTTGGATATTTTTTTATTAAGCTGTTCCTTGATCTCCGCTTTCGAATCACATGAGCCATTTTTAAAGTAGTTATACGGACGAAGATATTCACGATCAAAGAGGATATTCTGCTATGATGAAATAGAAGATTGCTATGTGACGATAATGGCTAATAGCGGAATATCGTCGCCTAACAATGTTCTATGTCAAGAGAAAGTCACTGTGTTAATATGATGTATTTTTTTGCGGGGCACCATACTTAGGGGAGACTACCTCGTACGACATACACACTGAGCTACGCCACTGCGCCTGCCACAATTGACACATTGAACCGAGAGCAGTGATAGATTTGCGTTGTTCGCAGCACACATGGCTGCAAATATGGGCCCAAGAATGTCAACACGGTGACTTGACAATCAGGTACATGCAAGAGTACTACAGACTACTGTATGAATCAAACTATACTCCAAATGAAGCAAAAAAAGTCCTTTACATTATCCGTGATCTCGTTAGAAAGTCATCTATGGTATCAAACAATGCTCTGTAATGTTCATCGATGAGAACTGGGTTAACCTCCATCCAAGTAGATGTAATTTACGTGCGAGTCCAGGACAGTGTAGTCACGCACGACAAAAATGCCCAGCCTCTCGTATTAGGATGTCGGGCGCTATAAGTTATAAACACTCACTCGTCTTTGGGGTGTGTCGAAGGTCATTTATGCCCAGAACATTGTTCAAGGTATTCCGCTGCCATTTACGCAAAACGAACGCAAATTGAGGTTCTAAGAAAACAATGGTCACCTACTTTTTTATGAACTCCCAAAGATGATATAGAATGTATTAATAAAAGGTTTAAATACTCTTGCTAATCACCTTAGTATGAAATCAGTTCACGTATTGATCTGTAGAGGTCATCGTTTAGAGTAAATGAACATACATATATAAACACGCGCCCTTGCTCGCAAACATAAGTTGAAATTCATTGTGTACAATTATCACATAGATACAAGTTTATCCTCAAGAGCAGTTAACGATTACAATTAACTCTGCTTGTCGGCTATCTACCTCCGGGCGTAGAAGAACCCAGGCGAGGCTATGCCAAAGGGCAGAGTCTCGTCTGGGGAAGTAGACAGCTACCCGTCCTTGTGTATACGGGGTCTACGAACAATTTTACCCGGATCTACGGGCTCGGAAATCCCCACGTAAAAAAAAAAAAAAACAGCATTGTGCCACATCCCGCCTTGTTGGGGTGTCTCGGGTAAATACCGCGATACAAGTATATCCTGAAATTTTTTAACTACATCGTTTATTTAGTACTAACTGTAAAAACATTGATTTGCATAATAAAATCTGATGCACCCAAAAACAGTTTTATGTATATGGACGATATGCAAATCTATAACAAATAATGCGTAATTGAATGACAAAATAAAAAAAACAAAAAAACAAAAAACAAAAAAATACTTCTATCTAACACGTTTGGTGTATTCCTTTCTCATTAATCCACAGAATTTAAAGGGGTGTATCTTGCTTCGAGCCTCTGGCGCCACAGAATCACAAACTGCCAAATAAAAGAAGCCACATCATTTGGGGACTTTCAACAGCAGCAACAACTAAAATGGATATCTACATATAACTCGAAGAGAAAATGTGTTGACAATCGACATCCAAAATACGTATACTATTTGGTAAAGAGGTTAGGAAAGAAACGCCGACAAGTACTGGGAAGAGCAATGACAGCGGATTTGATAAGTTTATTTTCGTAAAAAAAATGTCTAAAATAAAAGATTCCATAAAATTCTATCAACAGTACAACTGGTTGCTCGGTCAATGAATGCCGAATGTTTTCACATAACGTAACGGTTAATATTACACACACATACATCATATATATACATCATCATATATATATATATATATATACATCATATATATATATATTGTATATGGAAGAAACAGATCAAATGCTGGTTGACACTTTACATCGTCGTTGTATAAACGAAACGCATTAAGTACAAGTTTTTTCCATGATGACATTCAATTGCTTATCTCTATCAATACATTATACAGACACATCGATCGCTATCATCCCTATCCTCTTATATATATATATATATATATATATATATATATATATATATATATATATATAGAGAGAGAGAGAGAGAGAGAGAGAGAGAGAGAGATCATATTTCAATTAAAGGTGCAAATTATAATTTATAAATTCATGAATCATTCATACATTAACGTCTATATTTGTTTTTTGTATGAATGATTCATAAATTATATATATATAACTTGCGTGCGTGTGGACATTTAAGCTAAGTAAAAGGTTATTTTCATTTAGAC